TAAGTTTGCTAAGGGATGTGTGGGCAACTTCTTGCCGCCATAACTTTTGAGCAAAATGGAACTAGTTTGCTCGGAAATCATCCAATCAAAGTGGAGATCTTGCGCTTTCATGTGAGCCAATTAGATCGGTTGTAGGCAAACAATTAGAAAAATTCCGCCAATGACGAAAAAAGCCAATACATTTGTTTGGACCAGAGTAGTACTGCGTAGTAGCTGGCAAATTGGAAACTGGGGGAATAGCTCAGGTGGTAGAGCATCGGTTTCTTAACTCAAAGGTCGTGGGTTCGATCCCCGGCTTCCCCGGATTATTTCCGCAAGGATTTATCCGTCCCTCCCCTGGGGAATCCGGATAACAAGGGCCGCGTACGAAGACGAGGACCGAACTTCGAAGAAGATCGGTCGAAGCACGAGGTATGATGCGTTGAGCGAAGTAAAAACCGAAGATTACACACCGCCCCTGCTCGAGCAGGCGCGTTACAATTGGCGAAGCGGTTCCATTTCAGGTGGTTCTAGTGTCCGCCCTCGCGGAGGCATGTCTTAAAAATGATAATCCAAACTCAATTAACCAGGGCGGGGTGTAATCTTCGGTTTTTACTTCGCTCAACACTTATCTCCTTCGAAGTTCGGTCCTCGTCTGCAACGTTACTGAAAAAAAGTATTGCACTCGAAATCCCTTGTTATCCGGATTCCCAGAGGAGGAACGGATAATTCCTTGTGGGAATAACTGACTAGATACTACCAGGTAATAGTGGCTTGATCATTCGTCAAGAGGCTATATATATATACTGTATGTAGTAGACCTCTTGACGAACAATCAAGCCTCTAGATCTCCGGATGCGGGCAATAGAATTTTCTCACTCCAACATTCGACATGCCCTCGAGAGCAAGCTGCCGCATCTCAACTCTACTGCTCCTCGCGTGCTCCTGCTGCGTGGCAAGCGCGACCATAGACGCATGCACAGCGTATCCGCAGTGCGCAATTGCTGGACCAAACAACACTGCGCTGTGGTGTTGCGCCAGTCCGAGTGGTTGTTGTCCTGGCATAGATTGCTGCGGTCCTGTCGCGTCGAACACGTCGTCGATTACCCCCTCATCGACCACAAGCGATCCTCCTTCTTCCCTGCCTGCCAGTGGGACCTCCACCACATCACCCACAACCACGGCAACGGCTCCGACTACGATCCAGCCCAATGAGGCCACATCCAAGGAACGTGCATCGGCTGTTGTAGCCGTTGTGGGGTTGTTGGTGGCAGCATCGATCGGTGTCTAGGAGTATACTCGGAGTACACCGTAAATATCAATCGATGTCAATCAATTTTTTGGCAAAAAGTGGAATGTATTCGTTTTAACAGTGCAATGCGTGGTCATCGGTTGTTGGACATACTATCGAGGGCAATCGTGGCGCTACGCGATGATGGAAGGAGTCAAAATCATTATTACAGCTAGGGGCGACGCATAACATCGTTGCCTCAGTCTATGGCATCATGTGCTTGCATTTCACCCAATTTCATCACGAACTTTTTTTCAATGGTGGCTGGCCTAGCTACAGTTTGCATTTGCAAATCGATTCGTCACTGGGTGATGCACTCTGCATCAAGAAAACGTGGTCTTTAGGTAGCATACTTGAAGTACATAGTATTTGCGCATGCTAGTAGTAATATCCACAAACATGCATATCCGCTAGCATTATATATATAGCGAGAATTGCCCATTTCGTTATCTTGATCATGGCATTTTGGGTGCCAAAAAACAGTCTAAATAGAATGGAGCCAATCAAAAAATTGCACGTTGTAAAATGAAATACTAACATGTACTACGTAGTACTTCATGCGATCCGGATTTCGGGATTCCTTCAAAACACATCAGACCGAGATTGACAAGGACATGAGCAACTCGATTGTGTGTACGACATCACGTTGTATTGCGATGCCACACCAAGGTGTGCGTCCGCTGGACCTGCCGCGTCGGCATTGACCTGCTGCTCCTTTGCTGTCGGCTGTTGTCCGGACGTTGGTGGGACACGCCTGGACTGCTGCAATCCCGCTCCACCGCCGCCGAGACTCCAAGTTTCTTCCGAGAGTAGCTCGGCTACGTCGTCCTCCGTGTGGATAGTCGTTGCCATCATCTGTGGCTTGATATTTATTCTTGCACCGTGAAAGATAAGGCCAGGATTTGTGCTTCGACGTCGCCGCATCTACGTCAGTGGCGGAGGGCAGCAAGGTACATGAGGGTACCAGCGGTCATAACCTCCTCCTACAAGTCACGGGAAGCCACAATTGTTGGGCTAAGTCGGGCTAGAAGTGTTGGTATCAATACCGGTAACGTGGGGCACCAGTCATCAGCATCGCTCTATGCTTATTTTGTTCGTCGATTTCTCGTGGACTATACAACACATATTGAGGTGATACAAATATCAAATTAACCACAAGATTCAGCTCATGAATTGAGGTTCAAAGGATATCAATTTCAATAGTAAACACGTGCAGTAAGTATTTTCAAAAGTAGCGTTTTTTGTAGGGCACCAGTCATCGGCACACGTTTTAGACTTGTGTAATGTATTGAATCCTCCACGCTCTAGTTCGCGGGATGCTGTCATCACACTAGCTATCAAAGGAATATGTGTTTAGAATGGGTATTAACTGCTACAGTAATGATTTCTGTATGATCAACACAAAATTGACTGGTCCAGCCTCTAATTTATAAGGGGCACTAATTCTTGAAGAACTACATTTTGACCAATAAGAGGTATTTCGGGCATTTCTATTGGCTTAGAACAGTGCCGATGACTGGTGTCATTGCCGATGACTGGTGTCATTGCCGATGACTGGTGCCCTACGTTATTTACATATTGCATTTTATATTGATTGTGTGAGTGTCGTCAGTCGTTCAAAATCACGTTGCACGTATTTCTTCATACAGTACCGTGCGTTTGGGCAAATCGAATGTATTGGTTAATTCTTCCATAACTTTTCCCCCATGTAACATTTTTCAGATCTGAAGGTATATACGAATATAGGAGAAATCAGTTCATCGGGTGAGGAGTTTTATAATCAATACAACGGGATTTTAAAATAGATAACGTTGTTTCAAATTTCGCTCCTGCCATACATTCTGAGCAAATTAATATACTCAGACCAGCGATATTTAAATAAAAAATAGTTCTGCACTCAGCCCAAAATTTATAATAATACGAGCGGGACTACTGAAAGTCAAGTACTACCGTAGTGGATATTCTCTTTGCAAGTTTTTAAAAATTCGAGCTATCCTATTTTCAATACTCCTACGTGCCAATCCGACCCAAGCAAATGCTTGGATTCCCCATGTCACGAAGGCACATAAGTCTATCACCATTCATTCATATTTAGCCTTCAAAACTGGGGATTCATCATCTTTAATTCAAGACGAAGCGATTAAGAAAAGAATGAGCTAAATCCGACCAGTAATTTAAAACGAAAGATTCGTTTTGCCCAAACGCACGGTAACTGACAAGGCGAATAAAAGCAATGCAAAACGGTATCACTATTACTACGTAGTATTATAAATTCGGCACGCTACTCATATCTCGTTTCTGGGGACGTAACGTTAGGCATACTTCTTGACATTGAATGAAAACAATAATCAACTCGTTCGTGATCATCTAGTGAGAGCTGGGGTAACTTGGTGCCGAGGGTAGCTGTTGTTGTTGGTACGTGTTGTGGGCGTACAGGCGGTCGGTGGACCCACCAAATGCTGACGGTTGCGCAGCTCCAGCTGCATACGAGGGCTGGTACTGTGTGTAGCTGATCGTGCCAGAGTAGTTGGCGGGTTGCGGTTGGGTTTGGTTGGGGTAGTACGCATACGCTGACTGGTGGGGTGGGTGGTTCGTACTACTACTAGTAGTACTAGCCGTGCCTTGGTAGTACTGGACGCTGCGATTGTTGGCATTTCCCAACGGCGCGCCGTGGTAATACGCGTGTTGTTGAGACTGCAACGCGATGGTGTCTAGCTTGTTCGTCTCGCTCGTGTCCTTGCCACCACAGCACCACCACCGACGACAGCACCGCACCAACCCGAACAAAACCAGCAAGAGAACCACCACCAGCCCTAGAATGCCAATACCACCACCAACATGATCAAAGCCATACTCGAGGCCACCAGAGCCCATCTCGTGCGGCGGCACGGCCTCCTTGGAAGGAATGTCGTTGATGCTTGGGTGGCCCATGAGCTCAAATTTCCCCGACGCCCCCGGTGGCGCTGGACGCGTGACGTACACCGTGGCCGAGCCCATCCGATTGACTTGCAAGTCGTGCGTCGAGGTCACGTAGACGTCACCAGATCCGGCCGAGAAGACTTTGGTCGACTCGCACGCAATCGAGCTCATGTGCGCATCCCCAGAACCCAAGCCATTCATATCTAGGTGGCGACAGTAGCCCAATCCAGTTGAATCGTAGCTCACGTCGCCCGAGCCTACCCCCAAGTTATGTAACCTCATAACCTTATAAACCGTTATATTGTCAAGTCGATTCGAAATTGGAGTGGTACGATTTCGGCAGACAATCGATATATAGACCAATCAAAACACACCCAGATCACGAATCAAGTAGCCAGTCAAATTATCCCATTTCAACATTTAAGTAGTACTATTGTCAAATCGATTCGAAACTAGCAGAATCGAATGTCTTCAGAGAAAGGGATAAAAAAGAACCGCTTAAGCCAATCGAATCACGTTCTTGTAACTTACAGCCAATAAAAACGTTTGACTAGACTCTGTCCCTCCGAAACCATATATATATATTAATCCATATATATATATTAATCTGTGTATAGTAGTTTGTACAACCTTAAATAGGATCAAATGGATGCATTTGGCGAAATGTCCAAATTTGGTGAAATGCACAATATGCGACTGAAATTAATGTGTCACTGGACATACAAAAGTCAGTACAAAGAAAGTATCGATCGATAGATATTTGGCAAATCAGCACAAACGTCCAAAGTTTGGGGTAAAAGGACTATACAAGACAAGGAACGGCCTACATACCTGCGATGGTCGTGGCCACGTTGAGTGACACAGTCACGTTGGCACTGGTCACGACAATATCGCCTGAGCCGTAGTTTTTGACTACGAGTGTGCCCGCCAACAGCGACGACGACGAGAACATCGACACGCCTCCAGATCCAGAGTTGCGCACATCCACTGACGTGGCAACGTGCGTGACAGGCACATCCCATTGCAACTCCCCGGACCCCATCGCCGACAACGCGAGTGAGTGCAACTCGACCGCGGTGTCTTGGACATAGACGTCGCCAGAGCCCGACGACGAAATGCTCACGGATGCAGGAATAATCGCCGACTCTGCGACGGTGCTGACGAGGCTACGCGGGTTCACCACCAAGCTGCCGCTGCCGCCAAACGCCACCGACTGGATCGACTGGCTCGGCACAAACACGTCGATGAGGTACTCGATGTCGCCCGGATAAGACGACGCCATGATCGTCAGCGAGTCTTGGCCGTTGGTGGACCTCTCGGAGAACGACACCACGTCGGTCATGCGTGTCGACGTCGACGTGACTGTCACCCATACCGCCGTCGCGTTGGCATCTTCGTTCACAAACGTGTGGTCGCTGTGGATGTTGAGAGCACGGATGTTGGTCGAGGTGGCATGGAAGGTTTCGACGACACTCGGGACGTCACTGTTACGACGGCGACTTGCTGCAACCATAAGCCTGCGAGTGAGCTGCTGGCTTGTGGGTGGGCTTGGGCAATGATCGACTACAGTAGTACGTATACTAGTACTACGTCAACCAGACTTATAGTGGGACGTACTGAACAAGGTAAGTTTGGGTTGCTTTTCTTCTTTACGTACGTCAGTTGTTAGTAGATACTAGTAGATGCAAATGCTGTCGTCAGCTCCTGAACCCCTGAAACCTGGCAATTCAAAGTAAATGTGTTAACGTTAATTAGAAAGTAGGTTGCTACCATTGACTAAGTAACGATAGGTAGCACGGATCCATGGACACCTTGTAAGCTTACGTGCCATTCGTGCATTTACACGATTCTATTTGGGTTGCCTTTTCAAAGTACAGTGGAACACTGTCTGGGTGACTTACTGTTAGTATCTGGCGCCTTGATTGATTGAGTTTGGATTATCGACAGTCCTCCTTTGTATCTGGTGCCTTGCCTACTATTAATAGTACGTACTATTAGTATGGTACTACTAGTACTTATTACTACGTAGTAAAAAGAGAGCCCATTAATTGACCGCTCCTACGACGACCTAACCCTGTAGTAATGGGTGGTCGCTGCTCATTGGATATAATTCATTGTGCTCAGATTCTTTTTGTATACACTAAGCATAACAGCAATCAAAAAGAACCAGCCACCGTGGTCTAGCGGTTTGAACATGAGATCCGAAAGGTCACCAGTTCAACCCCAGCTTTTTGCCCACTTTTTCCCCATTAACCAGGACTTCTATAGCGTAGCGTAGATAGACTTAGGCCCAGTTCGAAGTACCAAACTTCCGGAGACTCCTCCAATCAAATCACACAGAGTGTCCGGGATAAAATTAATATTATCCAGGACATAAAATACCTCTTGGGAGTCTCCGGACCACAAACAGACAGACAATTCGTTCGAAGTAATTGTGCGATGGACTCAAACGCAGCCATTTGTGCTGCTGTGGTTGCCGCTGTGCAAGCTGTAGTCTCGCACGACGGATGAAACAACCCTGGCCCGAAGGTGCACAAGATCGTTGTACCTAACTCCACATGGTAGACTGTTAAAACCAACCCAGGTTACGACCAATGGTTTCGTCGCTACCTGCGATGTCGGCGCTCAGTGTTCACGACGATTGCACGCAAAGTCGATGCCTAGTGGACCCAAGTGCACGGACGACTGTACCACAACACAGCCATCTTGGTTGACGATCGCGTAGCCTGCGCGATGCACTACTTGACGCATGCCGATGGATACGATGCGACAGCGTTAGTCTTTGGGATCAGCAAGACGATGGCGAGAACGTACACGTTGCAAGTTTGCCAGGTTCTATGCCAGTGCTACTTAGCCGATGCTGTTGCCATGCCCACATCTCAAGCTGCGTGGAAGACAATTCGTGGTGGGTTTGAAGACGTCGCTGGCGTGCCAAACGCCTACGGCGCTATCGATGGAACCTTGATACCAATCAAACGGTTTACGGACTATGATGGGTGGTATTGTCGCAAGGGTTTCCCTGCCTTCAACATGCAGGCCGTGGTCGACGACAAGATGCGGTTTATGTCGTACTCGATTCGTTCTGGGAGTCAAAACGACAAAGATTTGTTCCGCGAGTCACAGTTCGGCAAATCCTGCCATCAAAACGTTCCCCGGGGTGGTTGTTTTGTGGCCGACGGCGGGTACAAGTTATACAGCCATATCCTGACGCCGTTTGCACTTCGATTTGGCATGAATGCTGACGAAGCTCACTACAATCTCCTACACAGCCGAACGCGAATGGCGGTGGAGTGTGCATTTGGGCTGTGGAAAAATACTTTTCGTATTTTTCAAGTCAATTTGTTGCATGGGTCGCCTGCCGAAATGGTGTTGCTCATCAAATCAACGCTGGTACTACACAATTGGTTTATCGACGAAAAATCAATTGAAGCAGGTATCCCTAGAGTAGAAGACTATGAAGAGTGGATGCATATTGGTGGCGACGTAGTCTACGAAAGCGAAAGAAATCTAGTTGATGGTGTTGCAGCTCAACATGTCCGTGACCAAATCAAAACATATCTTTTTGAAAATGTAACTGCGAAATAAACCAAAAACATTTCAATTGAATATTATTGTTTGGATTCTAAAAACATTTGCAACTTCGCTTGAATTTCATTTCCACGCTCTAAGGCCGCAATAGTCCTTTCGTTCATCACACCTGTTGAAACTAATATTTCCTTCGTTTCCGCCAATAATGTCGCCACTGTAGCAATGCTCGAGTCCGGAACCGAACGAAATGCAGCAGCATCGACTAGTCCTTTAGCCAACGCATCGCCCAAGGACACCAGACCGGCACCAATGTCAACCTTGGATTTGGATCGTTGTTGTCGCTGGCTCTCCAAGTCATCCACCGCCTTGCGCTTGTCTGCTTGACCACTGTTTTCTGTTGGGAATGGAACATCATCTCCAAACTCGACGTCGCCTAATCCTCGCATGTCCCCAAACGCTGCAACCATGTCATCCCAGTAAACGGGATAGTCGATAGGGATGTCGGAGTCGTTCCCCGTCGCAGCTTCCTTGATGTGAATAGCCTTGTACTTGGCACGGATGTCGTACTCCTTGTTCTTCAACGACGTTGTTGTGACAGCGTTGTCTCCTCCAACAATAATGTTGAACTGCAGGCGCAGACGTTCCCACAAACTGCACTTCTTTTGATTTTAGTTGCACTTGCTAAAAGTCTCCTTGAAGCGGCCGTACCGGAGCTCGAGCAAAGTAACCACCATATCATCACTGTAAAAGGTCGGTGGCAACGTGACTTGAACCACCTGATCTGCACACGCGGCGGCTTCAACGCCGACAGTTCCATGCATGGCTTCTTGGAGGAGCCGGACTTGTTCCTGAAGGTCTTTTTTCGTGGGTGTCTTTGCCTTGAGCGTCTTGGTCGGACGAGTCATCTTCAAAAGTGGTGGTTTATCACGACGAATGTCGCCATTGGCGAATCTACGTCCAATCATGGGTCTCATTACTGGTCTATCATCCGGTGACAAAAAAATTTTGCCTTTTTCTTCTGACCAATAAGATTGGAGT